CACGAGGTGGAAGGGATCTCAATATAGTCATAATGTCTCCAAAATAAATCCTATTTGATCCGTGTCTTTCCAGACGTTCCGTGAAGCGAACGTAAGAGAATGGAGCGATATTCCCACTTATTGTATCATTGAAGCGAAGCCTTGCAGAGTACTGCGTAGATGCCGTGGTTAGAGCCCTCGTCGTTCACGGCATCCTCGAGTTTCATGGGCAGTATGGGTGCTGAGCAGAAACTCACGACGAGGGCAGGGGCACTATACTAGTAAAGCCCTGTTCTTGAATGTCGGTACAACTGACTCTGAAGGCTACAAAAGTCGCCAAACTAAAATGAATGCAACTCGAGGATAATGGTGGTAGTGCTTCAAACCAGGTAGATGGCACTAAAGCTACCGGGACTTCACCAGTAAATTCCTACCACTGTCAACTGATCTCCGGGTCAAGGTGGCATACGATAATGTCTGTCGACATTAACCGCTATATGAGAGGGCCAAAGAAATCGTGACTTCATTCGAATTGCGCACAGGTAGAGAGGGTGAACAATTAAGAGGCATTCCATCTAATCATCACCGCATACACTGCTCAAAATGGGTTGGGTTGGAACCCATCTCAAGGCTGCTTACTGAAAACACAACATGCAAGTGGCTGACAACCAACCATTCAATGGTCAGCACAATCCCTTATCCGAAACAAACTTGCTTTGATTCAGTGAAACCGTGGTTCTGCCATGGCTGGCAGGCTTGGATAGCTTATTCAAATTGCGCACTAACATACGCGTCAAACATTGGTGGTTAAATTGAGACGTTTACCTTTACGAAGACTCTCCGCAGGAGACCACATTGCTGCTTTGCTTACAACGATACTCATTTAGTTGAACCCAAGTAGCTAAGGTGTTCTTGTGGATGCACCACGACATTTCCCTCATGGAAAGCATGTTGAAACAGTTACTCTGGCTGACAGACATGAATGTATTTGTGGCATATCATCAGAACATGGCACTTGGCCGCGTTAAACTAAAGTATGTCTGAGTTACCACATTTAAGCCCTATCCCGATCACACTGCAACGCTGTGTGATTATGCACTGTAGGGACAATATACCTTATCTTTAGATCATCAGTGAACACTAGAACATTTGACTAGTGCTTCAAAGTGAGGTTGCTACTGACGACCAGGAACAGTCGTGATCTGAGTACCGAGGCTTGGAGAAAGCCGTATTAGATTTCCATTGCAGAGGACAGGATGCTACGGGACCTCGCCTTCAGATAACATTGAATGAGAAACCTGCCCATCCAACACAGAACAGAATCAGTGATTCGAATGTTTTGAAGATCGAGAAGTGGAATGCGATAATATAGAGTCAAATGCTTTTGAAAAATTCATTTAAGCGACACCTACTCCTACATTAGCATCCACACGAGCTACCAACAGATTCGTAGTACATGACCGACGCTGGTGAAATCCGTGCTGCTCCGGAACGAGAATTTCGTCACCCTTCAGGTATTCCATGAGCGCCTTGGTTAAAATGGAATCCATAATCTGCAAGATCACCAGAAGTAATGTTATCGGGCGATAATTTCCTGGATCTACACGGCAACCACTTTTGTACATTGGAGTGATGATTCCGTGCTGCCACAATGTGGGGACCTTAATCTCTTTACGACATTGTTGAAAGAATAATGCTAAGGGTTCAGATAAACTCATAGAATTCAATTTCAATGCCTTTGGACGAATATCGTCTGCACCAGAGAAGCTGTACTCGCGCAAAGACATCAACTGTTTCAATACATCTGTGGCTGTAAAGGATATGTGATAAAGGTCTGCTCGTGGCATGATACGAGTAAGCAGGATGCAGAATGATGGTGCATTTGGGAAGGTACGGCTAAATGGTATTCCAAGAAGGTTGTCTGCCTCTTGTGCCGTTCTTGCTGGCTTACATGCTGAAAAGCAGGAATTCTGCGCTTAAATCTACGAAACTTGTTCACATGTCTGTATAGCAGCTTCGGGGTTAGAACAAGATCCTATCACAACCTGCTTTCGATACTTTACTCTGTCCTCCGAAATGAGTTTGATGCAGTTTCTTTTGTGTTGTATGGACAACCCAGATGTCTTTTCTCGAAGAGACTATGTGATCGAGTCATGCCGAGTCACTCAATGCTATACACTTACGACTCCTGCTCCTTGGGACTCACTATATCTTTCCGAGCAGCGGATTTCGGTTTCTGATATGCTTACCACTAGTCTATTGTATCGGCTGACAAATTCCCCCCAGGCCTCCTCGGAGGACCATTCAGTTAGGAAAGATCAGCTAATTGCACCAATAAGTTCGGACGGGTTTTCATAGTTATTTACGATGTGAGATTCCTCGGTGCTATCTTAAAGGTATGCAGCGTAACACATCTAGCAGAATACTAGTGTCGCGTGGTCGCTGCGGCTCAGTTGAGTACACGTAACTACTACGTCGATTGTGAATTCCTTTCCTATGAAACGACGTCCAAGATGACTCCTCTGTTTCCTGTCCTGAAACGCGTTGCAGAACTGACACAATTTCAAACTGAATGTGGAGAACTCGCTGTGTAGTGTTGGGCTGCGACACGCAACTTCTATCAAGACTTTGTTTCAGTTTGAGGTAGATCTCGGTCATTCCGAGCGTGAGGACCGTATCTTGATTAGAAATATCTGGGTGTTGCTCTTCCCAACACTGGCACACCACGATCACGGTTTCGTCCCGGTTTGGATACATCAGGTGGTGATAGCCTGAGCTGGGGTGGAAATCAGAACCTAATGGTCCACGGCTGACGCCCTGAAAACAATGCTACTGAGATGCGCGAGCAACGCTTGGTACAGTGGAAAGGAATGCAAAGTTGAATTTGGAGAACTCGCTGTGTTTGGGTTGCGACACGCAACCTCCATTGAGACGTTGGTTCACTTTGATGTAGGTCTCAGTCATTCCGAGCGTGAGGATCGTATCAGAAATATCAATATTTCGGTGTTGCTCCTCCCAAAACGGGCACACCACAACTGAGGTTTCGTCCTGGTTTGGACTCCTCAGATAGAGATAGCCTGAGCTGGCGTAGAAATCAGAACCCAGTAGTTCATGGCTGACGCCTTGAAAACAATGCTACTGGGATCCACGAGCAACGCTTGGCACAGCGGACAGAGGGCTGCGTGTCGCAACCAAACCACACAGGGGATTCTCCAAATTCAACTTTGAATTCCTTTCCGCTGTACCAAGCGTTGCTCGCGCATCTCAGTAGCATTGTTTTCAGGGCGTCAGCCGTGAATTATTAAGCTCTGATTTCCACCCCAGCTCAGGCTATCGCCACCTGATGAATCCAAACCAGAACGAAACCGCGGTTGTGGTGTGCCAGTGTTGGAAGGAGCAACACCCAAATATTCCCATTTCGGATACGGTCCTCTGGATTGGAATGACCGAGATTTGCCTCAAACGGAACCCAGGTCTCAATAGAGGTTGCGTGTCGTAACCCAACCACACGGCGGATTTCCCAAATCCAGCTTGAATTGCTTTCCACTGTGCAGAGCGTTGCTCGTGGATTTCAGTATCATGAGGTCTATGGAATCAGCCGTGAACATCTAGGCTCTGATTTTCACCCCAGCTCAGGCTATCGCCACCTGATGAGTCCAAACCAGGACGAAACCGCGGTTGTGGTGTGCCAGTGTTGGAAGGAGCAACACTCAAACCTTTCCATAACAGACATAGTTGTACAACGTTGAATTAGCGATTAACAACTGCTGTTCCACCTTGAACTGCTCACCAAGGTGTCCAGGGTTTCTAGGGTGTGCATGTTGAAGTGCACTACCGGAAAAATGTGGCTGTAAGGTAGTGACAGTAGGTTCATCAAAGTACGTAATTTGAGATCGTCTATGACAAAAGGTGACTGTATTTCCTGCTAGTTATCCGCAGATACCAAATTGTGGTCGAATCAGATGTAGAAGGCGAAGGGTCGTAGATAATGAGCACAAGTCATATATGGCTCTCAGTTGCAAGTAACAGCACGCACTCCGCTATCCTAATCTGGTATGGAATGGCGCTGGAAGTAACTACAGAAATAAAGCGCAATTACACCCCGTCTAATGACACGGTTATCTTTGAGCGCGGCCATAGTTCCGTAATACAGATAAACGTCCAACCATTTGGAGCACTGAAGAAGACGTGGCTTGATTAATCAGACATTGTTTAGTTAAATGTCCGTTTCTGCTTAATAGCAATATATCGCTTCTCTGGAGATCTTAACATATAGCTACCTATATAGATATCATGGAGGCAGGGCGGTTTTAGATTGTGTTTCAACACACAAAACTGTCTAGTATTTAACCCACTTTCTGCCGGCATATTTTTGCGGACCCGTTTAAAATTTGATTTAAGGAATTGTATTAACGCAGTACTTATAATTTTTGTGATTGCACTGTTATAAAATGCACCAATCCTTATTGCACTGAACTCATTTGGCCCAATCCAATGTCTTGATTAACTCAATGCTTAAATCACACTTCGGAGTGTCTATAAAATGGAGGCCAACAGCAAATGAGTTGTTATGCGTCGTGGCGAATGACATTGGAAATCGATATGAACACTCCTGTTGGGTATGCGGCCAGCATGCGTGGAGATGGTCTAGATAGACACGTACACACAACCGCAGACACACACATAAGTGCATATTTATCTGCTTCCCTATTGGTTCATTCTATTTGAATCCTACGGTACTCACGTAGTTAGATACGTTTCAGATTACGGTAGTTTGTTAATCGGTGGGCCTTCTTCCTTCGGCTCGTGCACGTAACTTTTCCTAGATAACAACTCCCACGTGGACCAGCATTTAGCTATCACAGTGTTTTTATAGTGCCAAAATTAGAATGTCTTGCAGTTTTACAAGAACTGTAAGTCAAAACTAGTACAAAAATATAATTGTATCTTCCAATACAAGTACACATGATGGCTAAACTTTTACTTACGAGTCACTGATTACCTATTGCACCCTTTTTTAGCACAGCCGAAGCGGTCTTTCCGTGGTCAGAACAATGAACTTTCCTTCTGCGGGTGACATGCAACATGGTTTCTCTGGACAACGTGTGTGTCATTACGAGAAGCCACTTTGTAACCTATTGCGTCGAGTGACCAATGAAGACCAGACCCTCCACAATTCAATACTTCTTTCGAGCTATGCATACTTACTTACGAATAATAATCACTACAACAATGGAAATGATATGCAAGTTCCACTCCATCTCATTGGTCTGATATGACGAGTCTATGAGAACATAAAAGCCGATGCCAAAAAGCAACAGATCTTTCTGATATTAAAATGAAAAGCTGTATTAATAGGCCTATATAGATTTGATAGGCTAGTTTCAAGAAACCTGTGGAAGACAAAATGAGCTCAAGGGAGGGATACAACGGAGACTAAAAGGTGGATAGAGTGAAAACATTTAGCATTAATTGACACTCTGTTCATTCAGTCTGGGGTTTTGTAGTGGCCGAAATTTATCAGGGAGTCACAGTGGCAGCATCTAATGCTGTTAATAATGCATCAAATTGGTTGGAACGCCGAACAAGGAAATAGCAAGTGCAATCTGGTAATTCAACATCCTACTAATAGTCTTCGAAGGAATAACTTAAACAGATGAGCACTTTTATGAATCCAGGAAGCAGTATTTATGTCGCTGGCACCAATGAATGCCATGTAGTAACAACAGAAGCCGATCAGAGTGTGCGTTTAGGAGATTTGTGGTGCCTTGAAGACGTCTCTATCTTTAAAGCACAGGACTCACGGTGCCAGTGTTCACGTACCGCGATTGCTGAACGAAAGCAGACCTGGTAGGTTAATTTGAGTCATGTGTATCGTCTTTTGGGCTTCGACGATGGGTGTCTGCGAGAAGATGACCTCATGTAGTGGTGGACAGGGAGACAAGAAGAAGGTGAAGATGCAGATACAATTGTAGAATTCAGTGCATTCAACCAATCAAGACAGCTCACTACTAGAGGGATTCGCTTTTCTAACCAGCTCCAACATACACTGTTTACAGGTAGGCTAGCTTAAAAGGGGCCATACCAGCCAACTAAAGTGATGGCTCGATTGTTTAAGTGACGTCAATCAACTTCGTCCGGATATCCTCGTAGAAGCATGTCTTTCGCGTTTTCGATGTTATTTAGAGTAAACCTTACAAATGATTCACCCACGCCTCATTCGACCGCGCGGTTAGAACTCTGTGCTCACATACTGTTTCATTTCAGGGCCGCAGCGCGTGGTGCAATACGTCCTCACTGTTACTACGCTACTTTACTGTTTTGCTTGACATTCCCTTATGATAGCATCAGCAGGGTAGATGGTGGGAACGTCGTTTGTAGAGCAGTGAAACCGGATGGATTTCAACCGACGTAACCCAATAGTCTCAGCTGCTGACAGTGCTTTCCTGGATTCGCAGCCAAAGCGACTGAGAACAGTCACAAAATGATTGTTTGCAGAGAAAGACAGCTCACGAATAGTCATGCGCCAGCCAGATATGCGTAACCAGTGTAAACAAACAGGAATAAAACTGAAAGGCGTATGAAGGAGATTGCGTCTATCGTAAATTAAACCCACACTTCACTAAGATGCGTGGCGTTAATGTGTGTAGGGATCCTCGTGGTAAACACCAGCCTACTGATCCAAGTGGCATTTGGTGTACTCGCTGAGTGGTTGGATTGCGACTCGCAATCTCTATTCAGACCTCGGTCATTACGATCACAAGGACCGTAACCGAATTGGTGGTTCGGTGTTGCTCCTCCCAACCCTGAGACCCCATGACCGGTTTCGTCCTACGGTCCTTGTGATCGTAATGACCGAGGTCCACTTAGGACCGAGGTCTGAATAGAGATTGCGAGTCGCAATCCAACCACACAGCGAGTACCCCAAATGCCACTTGGAACACTTTACCGCTGTGCCAAACGTTGCTCGCGGACCTAGGAGCCATAGTGGTCAGGGCGTCAACCTTTGAACACTATACCTCGAGGTCCACCCCAGCTCAGGGTATCTCCATCTGATGAGTCCAAAGGAGGACGAAACCGGTCATGGGGTCTCAGGGTTGGGAGGAGCAACACCGAACCACCAAACCAGCCTACTGAGTTGTAGATGCGACCACACAATATGAGTGTACGTATGTGAGTTGAGCATCTGATAAAAGTGGGTTGGTCGCCAGTTGGCAAATATCTCGCATACAACTAAGAAATACGAGCACACGGAGTACATATGAAGTGGCTAACCCGTCTCAAGGTTAACCCATTCCTTGCGCTTAATGTTGACACAAATATTGCGTGCTGTAACTTCCTCAACAGCAAGTCGCAGTTTTCTTCAAGCGACGCCTATGGGACGGTACGCAATACTTTCTACCAATTCTTGAATGACTGACCCCAAGAAGTAATAGCGGCCTCGCAACCATCTATGAAACACCGATCAGATGAAGTGTGGCATGGTCTCCCTTATCTTTGCAATTTGGAGGTGCGTACCGGTTACTTCTGCAGTCACATAACATAATCACTTTTTTGGAGTACGGATCGAATTGATTTTTACTAGACAGTCGATCTTCCCCCAGCGTTCTTAACCGCAGCGTGATATAGTGCGTTTGCGCCCAATGAAAATGATATGTCCTTGAGTTAAGCTTGTGAAGTATTGGACGTCGATGGAGTGGTCAGCATTAAATCGTGATCAGTAGACCCATTTTGAAGAAAAAAATAGGAAACTCCGTCACCACATGGCTGTGGGCAAGTCAGCCAGGCTTAATAATAAAGTAGAAGTCAATAAAACCGGAGTTTGAGCAGCAATTCCATGTTCCCGAAAGGTTTGGCACTGTGTACGGGAAGGCGCATGACATTTATCATGCCTCAAACGCCGTTTGAGCGCCCTGCTTGCACTGGACGAGTTCAACACAAAGTAGATAATAATAGACGAAATGAATTCGAGTTGTGTGAAATTTGAAGTTCCCTTTATAATTCCAAATAAGAATATCAAAAAACGAAGATTGTGACCTTGTTTTTGCATTCCATTTTAATTGGTTGTATAGTGGTTTTGGAGTATGCACGGAATGACAATATCATCCCACAATCTTCGTCGTCCGATATTCTTATTTAGAATCCGAGTTAGTCGAATCCCGATCTCGGAGGATCGGACATTCGTCAACCAATCTGTAAATAATAACAAACTTTCGACGACACGGAAAATGGACAAAGTTGCCGTATCCGAATGCGCATCCATGGGATGCATACACTGAAGATACGGTTTAGACAGAGAGGATTTAAATCATAATCTGAAATACGACCTGGACTGCATACATCGTCAGATTCCCCTCAACAAAGTAACAAAATCGGAGTGCCATCTACCAACTTGCAAGGTTGACCTTAAGTAAATTACTAGAGATGTGCGTCGAAAAAGCAAAAGCACACTATTATACCATGTCTTTAACCGGCGACTTGTTTAAATTTGTACTCACCTAGGTTACCAGTTCACAAACAAGCATCCTCCTGTAGAGGCGTGAATGTAGGGGGACACTGGCAGTTAGAAACACTGTAACACCGTATCAATGTCACACGTGTAATTTTCACTTTAGGCGCCGGGCCGGACATATACCTTTGAAATCCACTAGGACAAGGTCTCGTTACTTGAGGACAGAGGGGAATTTGTCTCAGATAATGTATCAACACAGTTCTGGCTAAGTTGTGTAGACAAAGTTTTGCATATTAGAGTGGACGGTCTAACGGCTGTCAAGAAGAACGCGATATGCTGCAATGAGACTTAGTTCGAGCTTCTGTATGGTGAAAGGCAGATCTACTTCCGCTTAACGTGGACAAGTGCAAAACTGTGCATGCATGCCACAAGCCCACTCACACATATAAACCTGGAGACCACATGTTGAAAACCGCCGCAAAGGAGCGCTACCATGGGGTGACGATGCAAGATGACTTCGGATGTTCGGCGCAGTTATTAAGAGCATCCAAAACCGCTAACCAACATGTTGGTCTCTTGCGGAGTGCCTTCGGGAGCTTCGACCCCTTTATCTTCCTCCATATGCTCGATGCGTGAGTCCCCACGTAGAGTACAGGATCCAAACCTGGTTAAAACGCGATTTGGTTGCACTGGGGACCACATAGCGAAGGATAAGCAAAAATTTATGGGAACTGTTCCAACTGCAAAGCCACCTGCGACTGAAAGCCCTGGGAGTGTACAGCGGAATTTATCGCTGTCTAAGGGGTGACCTCATTCTGGCGTTCTAGCTCTGTAAGAACCCAGGTCGCGCTTACTGCCGCCTCCCGGAACTTAGCCGCAACAGAAAACTAAGGGGTCGCTGACTGAAACTAGCTATTCAATACAGTCGGCTTGAATGGCACTGGAATTAGTTTCCTCTTCGATTTGTCGACCTTGGAATACTCGCTTGACTTTTAGTATTTCTGCGCACATGCTATCTGTTAAAACAGACAACTCGACGATGCATTACACCCCCGCATTACTTGCTTTGTGTTTTGTTCATTGAGTGACGACAACGCGCAGCTTAACATAGTGCTCACCAACCCCACGAAATCGGGGGTAGACGAAGATACCTATCTTTTAACGTGGATACTAGGGAGAGTCCATAGATAGGCGATTCACTTTAATGTAACTACTTTTTTGAAATTATGTAATCCACACAAACCACCCCACGGAACTTGTCAAGCTTTGGCTTGTCATCCTCATTGTACCATTGTTCCACCTAGTACGTGGGTTACTAGTAGGCTGAATCTCAACGTCCATCAACAAATGACCGAGTTAAACTTCGTATGGTAATTCTTGACTGACGATTCTTGGAAGAAGTTCCACATCTGTGATGTTTGTCACCTGTGCCTGAGTTCCAGATGTATGCAATACAATTTGGAGTGTTTGACAAAACGGGCTTACTACCAGATAATTCTGCAAACTCTTCCAGTAGTCGAAGGCGTAGACAAATTCATTGCTCTTGTAACTCAAGCCAAGCCTGGTTAGATGCAATCAAACACAGTCCATTCGCCGTTTGCCCATGGAAATCCCAGACCGAAATGCCCAGAAGCGGCTTCCGTAGTCAGAAGACACAATAAGCTGGGATGCACGCTAACTCCTGTCTTAGACAGGACATCACAAAACCAATGCAATGTGAAGTACGAGTGCCGCCCGTATGTAATTAGTTGTTAGATAAGACGCAGAAACTAACAGGGACCTTCACTGAAGTCCGACCGTGAATCCGCGATACTTGTGCTAATCGAC